TCACTTTTGAATATCCAATCTTAGATCTTTTAATGGTATTCAAGGTTTGCACGTTCTGTCCATGTATTCATCAAACCATTTTTTTTAGGAACAAACCAGGGAATGTATAAGGACATCGACGAACATTTCTTRGGAGACATCAGCGCGGATTTTATCAATAAGCCTTTGTCTGGAGTGACTCATTACAAGTTTGTCATCAAAACGTCGAACTCGTCTCCTGGTAATAAATTCTCAGGGGGGGGGGGGGGGGGGGGGGGTTGAAGCTTTGTTGTTTTTGAAGCTTTGTTGTTCGGTATTTATATTTTGCTTTCTTTATTGTAGGTTTTCTTAGCTTTTGTCATGACAAGAAATCATGCTCGATGTTAACAAAKTCATGTAGGGTGAATTGCAGACACATGTGGGATGGGCATGGCCGATGGATAAATAATACCTGGAAACCTTACTCCCATGGTAAATATRTCCTCCATTAATTGGACTGACTGACTATGTGACTATATGTGTAACTATGTTTAACTCACGGCTGATCGATTCTCTTATTGATTGGTGGTTTGATTATCGTCTGGAGTTCMTTAATAGATCCCGTTATTTAGGTCTTTAAATATCACGTGACTTATGACGACTTAAGAAGTCTTAACAACCATGTTTCCCCGCTAAAACGGAGACCTGTTTTAGTTGATATTCAGGCCTTGTTAGAATCTCACGTGCTTCTTGCTGTCACGTCTTCTTCGGATCTTACCCAGCTCACTATAGGTATACCAGCCYACGAGACTCACAGTGATATAGGATGAAACAGCTGCCAACGCTTTTCACTTGACTATTTCTTTTGCATCTTGAAATGTCCAAAACAATAATCCGTTCTTTTAAAGGCTTTATACTCTGTATTGCGCATGCTCTAATGAAATTGATTGGAAATTGATTAATTGATTTCACCAGTCCATCCCTTTAGAGAGTGACCTATGCATAGCTATTATCTGAATAGGTAATATATGGAAGATCGCATGTTTGTTTTTATTACTGCTCTTTTTTTGTTCTAGTCACGCTTAGAAACCAGAAAAAGTTCAAGCCTCGTACTTTGTTAATGATAGGAGATTCAAATAGCAGGCGTTTCATGGACTACTCTTCTCAGGCTGATCTTTGTAAGCGTGTGTTTAAGTACTGTAAACTTGTACAACACTGGCTGTATGAGGTATGATCATTTTATAATCATTTATTTGGCTTTTTATACATGATGATACATGTTAGACCTACTGGAAACTGTTATAAGCTTATATCGTGCTCATACGCCTCTCGACTCAGAAACGAAACCTCTGCACTCTTATCTTATCATCTTATCTTTAAGCTTTAGAACTTTTTTTGATATTTGCTCGTATTTCATATACAGATTGATTCTGATCTGACAGTGAGCTAACATATTAATTGATTATGTATTAGTATATAGTTTGTATACAATCAATTACAACTAAAAGGTTGTTGATTGAGATATGAGCTTATACACATATATCATGGCATGGCATTCATTTTATTATATATATAACGAGACTTTYATAGAGTAAATGGCATAAATAAAAATCTGTATGCTATATTTTCACATGTGAAAAATAGCGATACGTCCAATCAGAAGCGCGTATAGCATTTCTCTCACACTGTAAAAATATAACCAATCACAACACAGAAAAACCGTAATCAACCAATCAGAAAGCGACGTTCACAACACTGAAATGGCTTCCCTCACATACCGCGCGTTGATGGCAAAATGGCTGAAGGTGAACTGTGTTTGTTGATCAAAATTCCACATTTGAAGAGTTTATTAGTGGACAGGAAGGCAAACAAACTAAAGCAAAGTAAGAAGAGATGTTTTTCTTCAAGAGAATTAATTTTTTTGCCATCCAGAATGAACATGAAAGGCATGGAAAACATCAGCCAAAACTATAACTTAAACGAATAGAAGTTTGTCTCGTTGGTGTTCACTGAGTTCAGGCCATTTTATACCAAGTTTTGATCGTTTTCTGCAAAACTTAACCTAATCTCCATGCAATTAATTAAGAAAGACAGGATTTCAGTAAGACAAGAGATGTACCTGTAGGAAAGCAAAATCAGCTCAAACGAAGACGGAAATTGCAGCGCGTTATCTTACATACCGACCAAGAGAARTTCCTCTACTTACTATAAAATCTCACGAAAACTTGGACGTTCCTGCAGCTTAGTGGAAAGTACGACTATTAATTTAGTTGTCTTTTTTTTGTAAGCCTTAAGTTTTATCAAGTTTATTAATTTAATTATCTGTGCATTTTTTTTTCGATATAAGCTCATTGAGTTTGTTTCTTAAAATAGTTGAACAGGCTTATTGAAAAGTATGTTGAATGAAAGTCTCGTTATATATATATATGATAAACAGCTTATAACATGGAAAGTGCTTTGTACGGTATTTTATTCACTCGTTGTTTGCATCATAAACTCACTCGCTCGTTCCTCGCTCGTTCGTTGTATGATGCAAACAACTCGTGAATAAMATCCCGTACGTCGCACTTTCCATGAAATAAACTCTATATATTTAATTCAACTCAAAATCAGTTTTATTTATTTAATACATTGAGGTTTATTTATTTAACACATTGTAATTGTCCATTAAAGGAAGTCGCACGACAGACTCTGCTCAAGTATTCTGTGGGATCATATGCGATGGCTCTATTTTTTTCATATGTACCGTTATATGTTGTATGTGCACGTCAAACTACCTCGTCATCTGGGATACGGTCTTGCMATTTAAGGGTRACGTTCTGGAGGGCGAGTTTAACTTGACGTKGTGATTTTTTTTAATGTTGCAGTATAATATGAACCGCACCGATCTGACCAAAACAGACGAATTTGACAAATCCGTAGTAMTTGATCTCTTTAAGAGAAAGCTTSAAAATCCCGAAGTCAACAATAACGAAAGTGYCCTATTGCTTAATCTTGGTACACACTATGCTCTTGGGGTCAATTTTAGTCAGTACCAAGACTTAATTAYAAGCTTAATAGACTTGTTTAACACCAAAGAGACAGAAACTAATACGGATTTGTATAAGATGGATATTATTTGGAGAGGAACCACYATGCTGGAAAGGGAAAAGCTTCGAAAACTAAACTTCAAGTGGATCTTAAATAGTACATTGTTCCGTTTCCACAMCAATCAGGTAAATCTCGCCTCGCAACAAGCAACGGTCTGAGATGTTAGAAAGATGGGCGCTATTACCATATCAAAGAATTGCTGTCATTCGTGCATTTTAGTTGATGTCGATACCATATATGGAAACAATCAAAATGGCCGATTGTTAAGAAGTGTTTCGCTGTAATATCCGCAAGTTTCAGTTRAGTCAAAGCTTTAAAAATCGAACAACGACAAAAACGAGTGCATGCGTACTTCCAAATAAGGAAACRGTTGTATAAAAAGATAAATTAAACACCGTAAAGAAGTGGGAGAAGTAACTTACTGACGTTTCGGACGTTAATCCTTCGTCGGAGTAAAATAAGGTAAGATTACCATATATGGCTGCTAAACGAATGACAACAATTCTAAGGCAATGCTTTGCGTGGTCTTTTGGTGAAACGTTGGCTTAAGATAAAAAMAATCAAAAAAATAGCAATATTTATATTTAAAAATATCTTCACAGAGAATTCAGTTGTTTAATGCATATGCGACAAGCAAAATGTGTGTAGCTGGCTACAAGGTGCTGGATATGTATCATCTGTCAGCTTCATACCCGAAAGGAACTAATGATAATGTCCACTACGATCTTCAAGCCTTTCAACCCGCTGCTTCAGTYCTAGGAAAATATTACGGATGATGGCATTGGTCTGTCCRTCGTTTTCATTGGATTGAATGATTATGACTGCCCAGTCCAAATGCGAGGCCTTGAATGGTGCAAACCGGGTCTTTAAAGGACTGCAAGGAAGATATTTTTGAGTACTTTATAGCATTATTTAAAGGAATTGCATATACAAATTAATGATGACTACTCATACTACAAACGCATGGCTCGGAATGGCAATGACGATTTTTGGCGATGTAGAATTTGACATGGAATATTTGCACGTTGCTCGACTCATTACGCAAACGAAACATCGTCATTGTGAATCGTTTAGCATTACGAACAGAGCCACTTGGTTACTTTGTAGTGTTCAGTCCTCGCCTGTCGTGGGCAAAACTCACATAAACYCTTCCCTAAATTGTTCTTAAAAATTAGCAGCAAAGAGAGGTTAATGAAGAAAATTTCTTGTTAAAACATRCGACAATTGAAAATAAATGAGTAAAATAAACTAATTAAACTCTAACTTCATGCGCCCTTCAAATTTTTTGGGCAGCGGTGTTTGCCAATGTCTTCCTCTGAAAGAGAAAAAAACTCTTTGCAAATTTTGAATTTAAAATTTAAATTTAAATTTTAAATCTTAAAGCTTAAAAGCTTTAGAAAATATTAGAAAAAGAACTATTTGGACGGTTGGGTTTGAACGGCTGCTGCAATGCGATTTTTGTCGAACGCCAGCAATGCACCAGTCTTGACTCGTTGCCGATATTGTTGAACCCTCAACCAATCAAACACTACGTAAATCGAAGACATTTCTTTTAAGCTCAGTTTCGTGTTATTTAAATATAATATTGCTATCTGTCTACTGTGAAACAAAATCGCATTGTATAATTAGGTCTATACAATCCAACTAACCTACCGGTATGAACCATTATCTTCCACGGGTGACGGTTTACCAGCTACAATGTGTCTTTCGAACTCATTAAAGTTTTAACAAATCTGTTACAATCTCGTTTACGACGTTAAGAARCCTTGCAGTTATGGCACATTTAAATTTCAAAGTTATATTACTAGTTTTTGCATTTGAAAATTAAATTTATATAAAGATAAATTCCTGTTTCATTTTTGGATTTAAGTGTGATCGTTTCGTCTGGTTGCCATACCGGTCAAGTTCTACCTGTTTCAGAGCATTCAAGGATCATTTATCGCTTATCTTTGATCATTACATCACCATACAACACATTTGGCAGCGAGCGCTTTCATGAATGGTTTTTGACCAAAAAACGGAAAAAAATATGTCCTAAAATCCATTCCCATGCTCGCTTTGAATAACAAGCCTTGACTGACGAGACTTTTTGAGTCTAAACAACGTGTTTTGAATATATTGGAACGGTGTTTTGTCTTAAGAACAAAGAAATATGAACATGGAGAAGAGCTTTCATTTTAAGATTGTTTTACTTGGAGCCTTTATTATCTTATTAACTTTACAGATGTGTGAAACAAAACATATAAGAAAATCGACGAAAAAAGGTATGTATAAAGTAACCCAGACTCGCAAASGTTTGTAGTAAATCGAACGTATTTACTCGCTAACCAGCGAAATAAATATATTTCAAGTCCCTTTATAACAATTTGTAGTAMATCTCTTCAATACTAAGCTACAACAATCCGTTTTGTTATTTTTRCGACCAACAAAAACTAATTCATTAGTGTGTTAAACATGTAATAGTATATATTCTTCTTCCCTTTTCATTGCTCAAATTTTCTATTGATAAGTTTGTGTAACAAAGGGAAAATTAATTATTTACCTTAAGAAACGCATTATTTTTATTGTGTCTAATACACCTATGTGAGTTTGTTTCACGTGTTTAAAGTTAGAACAGCAGAACGAGGTCATTTAACTATTATAACACATTATATCAACAATTATGGCATRATAAGTAGTCGATAACTGYACTGTTTTCTTTGGGTTGATTGCACTATTCCAAAGTTTTGTTTCACAGATTTAGCGTTCACACTGTAAACTATTGAACTCGATATTTGATAGTTGTTAATTGCATTGCTTTGTTTTGTTCCTATAAAGTTAGGTTTAATATAACATATTTTATCCGCTTTTAATGATTTTAATTTTAATTTTAAAACTATCATCAAGTCTGCAGAAAGATTGAACGAATTTTAGTGCTATAGCTTTGATGTTAGTGTTCTCGAAAACGATTGTCTATTGTAGATTTTCTCTTTACGTCATCATAACAGGACTACCTGTGTTTTACGACACAGGAAGCCCAATCTACAAGATCAAGTTTGGCATTGGGGGGATAATTCTTTGATGTATACGATTAAATGAAGGAAATGCAACCTTCATGAATTCATTGTTTTGATATATTTCTTGTGCATTGAAATACAGCAATCCGTCTGATTGAATAATCCCCATTCTTTTTATGATTCAGTAAAGAAAGAGGAAATACCCGTACAGCTTTCAGTCGACGGGAACAGTAAGTACATATATTATATCACATTTAAAGGTCCACGTGCATCCAGAAACCTTTGCGATAGTTTCCTTTGTTTTACAAGTGATCTCTTTTCTGATAGTTGTTTTTATTGTTCTAAAATCAAACATGGCGATTTGTCTTAT